ATTTTAAAAAAATCGGTTCTTCGAATTTTTAATAAATTTAGATTTTTACCAAAGATTCGAGACTATTTAATAAGTAAAGTATTTCCCAAAAGCTCAAAAATAATGAAGCTAAATCCCATAAAAGAGGAGAAAAAATTTAAAATTTTAAGAAATTCGGATTTATGATTTTTTGATTTTTTTCTATAATTTTCTATTTTTTACCAAAGGGTGGAGACTATTAAATAAGTAAAGTAATTTACAAAAGCACAAAAATAATAAAGCTAAATACTATCAAAGAGAAGAAAAACTGTTGAATTTTAAAAAATCGGTTTTTTCGAATTTTTGATAAATTTTGATAATTTTAGATTTTTTACCAAGAGTCGAGACTATTCAATAAGTAAAGTATTTTCCAAAAGCACAAAAATAATGAAGCTAAATCCCATAAAAGAGGAGAAAAAATTTTAAATTTTAAGAAATTCGGATTTTTGAATTTTTGATAATTTTCTATAATTTTCTATTTTCTACCAAAGGGTGGAGACTAATAAATAAGTAAAGTATTTTTCAAAAGCACAAAAATAATAAAGCTAAATCCCATATAAAAGAGGAAAAAATGTTGAATTTTAAAAAAATCGGTTCTTCGAATTTTTAATAAATTTTGATAATTTTAGATTTTTTACCAAAGAGTCGAGACTATTCAATAAGTAAAGTATTTTCCAAAAGCACAAAAATAATGAAGCTAAATACTATCAAAGAGAAGAAAAACTGTTGAATTTTAAAAAAATCGGTTTTTCGAATTTTTGATAAATTTTGATAATTTTAGATTTTTTACCAAAGAGTCGAGACTATTTAATAAGTAAAATATTTTCTAAAAGCACAAAAATAATGAAGCTAAATCCCATAAAAGAGGAGAAAAAATTTTAAGAAATTCGGATTTTTGAATTTTTGATAATTTTCTATTTTTTACCAAAGGGTGGAGACTAATATATAAGTAAAGTATTTTTCAAAAGCACAAAAATAATAAAGCTAAGTCTTATATAAAAGAGGAAAGAATGTTGAATTTTAAAAAAATCGGTTCTTCGAATTTTTAATAAATTTAGATTTTTACCAAAGAGTCGAGACTATTTAATAAGTAAAGTATTTTCCAAAAGCACAAAAATAATGAAGCTAAATCCCATAAAAGAGGAGAAAAAATTTAAAATTTAAAGAAATTCGGATTTTTGAATTTTTAATAATTTTTTATAATTTTCTATTTTTTACCAAAGGGTGGAGACTATTAAATAAGTAAAGTATTTTTCAAAAGCACAAAAATAATAAAGCTAAATCCCATATAAAAGAGGATAAAATGTTAAATTTTAAAAAAATCGGTTCTTCGAACTTTTAATAAATTTAGATTTTTACCAAAGATTCGAGCCTATTTAATAAGTAAAGTATTTTCCAAAAGCACAAAAATTATGAAGCTAAATCCCATAAAAGAGGAGAAAAAATATAAAATTTTAAGAAATTCGGATTTTTGAATTTTTGATAATTTTCTATAATTTTCTATTTTTTACCAAAGGGTAGAGACTATTAAATAAGTAAAGTAATTTACAAATGCACAAAAATAATGAAGCTAAATACTATCAAAGAGAAGAAAAGCTGTTGAATTTTAAAAAAATCGGTTTTTCGAATTTTCAATAAATTTAGATTTTTACCAAAGAGTCGAGCCTATTTAATAAGTAAAGTATTTTACAAAAGCACAAAAATAATGAAGCTAAATCCCATAAAAGAGGAGAAAAAATTTAAAATTTTAAGAAATTCGGATTTTTGAATTTTTGATAATTTTCTATAATTTTCTATTTTTTACCAAAGGGTGGAGACTATTAAATAAGTAAAGTATTTTTCAAAAGCACAAAAATAATAAAGCTAAATCCCATATAAAAGAGGATAAAATGTTGAATTTTAAATAAATCGGTTCTTCGAATTTTTAATAAATTTAGATTTTTACCAAAGAGTCGAGACTATTTAATAAGTAAAGTATTTTACAAAAGCACAAAAATAATGAAGCTAAATCCCATAAAAGAGGAGAAATAATTTTAAATTTTAAGAAATTCGGATTTTTGAATTTTTGATAATTTTCTATAATTTTCTATTTTTTACCAAAGGGTGGAGACTATTAAATAAGTAAAGTAATTTACAAAAGCACAAAAATAATGAAGCTAAATACTATCAAAGAGAAAAAAAACTGTTGAATTTTAAAAAAATCGGTTTTTTGAAGTTTTGATAAATTTTGATAATTTTACATTTTTTACCTAAGAGTCGAGTGTATTTAATAAGTAAAGTATTTTCTAAAAGCACAAAAATAATGAAGCTAAATTCCATAAAAGAGGAGAAAAAATTTTAAATTTTAAGAAATTCGGATTTTTGAATTTTTGATAATTTTCTATAATTTTCTATTTTTTACCAAAGGGTGGAGACTAATAAATAAGTAAAGTATTTTTCAAAAGCACAAAAATAATAAAGCTAAATCCCATATAAAAGAGGAAAAAATGTTGAATTTTAAAAAAATCGGTTCTTCGAATTTTTAATAAATTTAGATTTTTACCAAAGATTCGAGACTATTTAATAAGTAAAGTATTTCCCAAAAGCACAAAAATAATAAAGCTAAATCCCATAAAAGAGGAGAAAAAATTTAAAATTTTAAGAAATTCGGATTTATGATTTTTTGATTTTTTTCTATAATTTTCTATTTTTTACCAAAGGGTGGAGACTATTAAATAAGTAAAGTAATTTACAAAAGCACAAAAATAATGAAGCTAAATACTATCAAAAAGAAGAAAAACTGTTGAATTTTAAAAAAATCGGTTTTTCGATTTTTTGATAAATTTTGATAATTTTAGATTTTTTACCAAAGAGTCGAGACTATTCAATAAGTAAAGTATTTTCCAAAAGCACAAAAATAATGAAGCTAAATCTTATAAAAGAGGAGAAAAAATTTTAAATTTTATGAAATTCGGATTTTTGAATTTTTGATAATTTTCTATAATTTTCTATTTTTTACCAAAGGGTGGAGACTAATAAATAAGTAAAGTATTTTTCAAAAGCACAAAAATAATAAAGCTAAATCCCATATAAAAGAGGAAAAAATGTTGAATTTTAAAAAAATCGGTTCTTCGAATTTTTAATAAATTTAGATTTTTACCAAAGATTCAAGACTATTTAATAAGTAAAGTATTTTCCAAAAGCACAAAAAAAATAAAGCTAAATACTATCAAAGAGAAGAAAAACTATTGAATTTTAAAAAAATCGGTTTTTCGAATTTTTGATAAATTTTGATAATTTTAGATTTTTTACTAAAGAGTCGAGACTATTTAATAAGTAAAGTATTTTCTAAAAGCACAAAAATAATGAAGCTAAATCCCATAAAAGAGGAGAAAAAATTTTAAGAAATTCGGATTTTTGAATTTTTGATAATTTTCTATTCTTTACCAAAGGGTGGAGACTAATATATAAGTAAAGTATTTTTTAAAAGCACAAAAATAATAAAGCTAAGTCTTATATAAAAGAGGAAAAAATGTTGAATTTTAAAAAAATCGGTTCTTTGAATTTTTAATAAATTTAGATTTTTACCAAAGAGACGAGACTATTTAATAAGTAAAGTATTTTCCAAAAGCACAAAAATAATGAAGCTAAATCCCATAAAAGAGGAGAAAAAATTTAAAATTTTAAGAAATTCGGATTTTTGAATTTTTAATAATTTTTTATAATTTTCTATTTTTTACCAAAGGGTGGAGACTTTTAAATAAGTAAAGTATTTTTCAAAAGCACAAAAATAATAAAGCTAAATCCCATATAAAAGAGGATAAAATGTTGAATTTTAAAAAAATCGGTTTTTCGAATTTTCAATAAATTTAGATTTTTACCAAAGAGTCGAGACTATTTAATAAGTAAAGTATTTTCTAAAAGCACAAAAATAATGAAGCTAAATCCCATAAAAAGGGAGAAAAAATTTAAAATTTTAAGAAATTCGGATTTTTGAATTTTTGATAATTTTCTATTTTTTACCAAAGGGTAGAGACTAATAAATAAGTAAAGTATTTTTCAAGAGCACAAAAATAATAAAGCTAAATCCCATATAAAAGAGGAAAAAATGTTGAATTTTAAAAAAATCGGTTCTTCGAATTTTTAATAAATTTAGATTTTTACCAAAGAGTCGAGACTATTTAATAAGTAAAGTATTTTCCAAAAGCACAAAAATAATGAAGCTAAATCCCATAAAAGAGGAGAAAAAATTTAAAATTTTAAGAAATTCGGATTTTTGAATTTTTGATAATTTTCTATAATTTTCTATTTTTTACCAAAGGGTGGAGACTATTAAATAAGTAAAGTAATTTACAAAAGCACAAAAATAATGAAGCTAAATACTATCAAAGAGAAGAAAAACTGTTGAATTTTAAAAAAATCGGTTTTTTGAATTTTTGATAAATTTTGATAATTTTAGATTTTTTACCTAAGAGTCGAGTGTATTTAATAAGTAAAGTATTTTCTAAAAGCACAAAAATAATGAAGCTAAATTCCATAAAAGAGGAGAAAAAATTTTAAATTTTAAGAATTTCGGATTTTTGAATTTTTGATAATTTTCTATTTTTTACCAAAGGGTGAAGACTAATAAATAAGTAAAGTAATTTCCAAAAGCACAAAAATAATAAAGCTAAATCCCATATAAAAGAGGAAAAAATGTTGAATTTTAAAAAAATCGGTTCTTCGAATTTTTAATAAATTTAGATTTTTACCAAAGAGTCGAGACTATTTAATAAGTAAAGTATTTTTCAAAAGCACAAAAATAATAAAGCTAAATCCCATATAAAAGAGGAAAAAATGTTGAATTTTAAAAAAATCGGTTCTTCGAATTTTTAATAAATTTAGTTTTTTACCATGTGACGACCCAGATAGTCTTACCTTTTTTTTACGAAATAGTTGTTCCTTTACCCGAGTTCATTCCCCGAGCGCATTCAAATTCGCGCGCTAAAGTAGCGCGCATGACTGCACTTAGCAGACGACTCGCACGACGCCGGCGAGACTTGTTGCTCTCGCCAGATAGATGCGAGCCTTCGCGAGGATATATTATAAGATTACCGCGCTATAATTATCGCTTATTATGTTGTATCCGCGCCTTTCCTTGTTACTGGTAAACAATAAACGTTTTGTTAAGTAACTCTCAGTGACTTGTTCATTTGTTTGGATTATTAATCGTTGTTAAATAGGATTAGCCGCCACGAGGACCATCCGTCGACCGGTAAGTTCGCTTTGCACCATTTGCTCTTTCTTCTGGCCGATTGGACGACTACTTGGCAGCCTTTCTCAATCGCCGTACTTGCTCGCTGCTGGAACTTTCGCTCAAGCTTTGTGCCTCCCGTCTCGAGTCGTCCCCATCCCCGAGAACTCTTTAATTAATATCGCTCTAAATTCAATTCTCGCGACCGGGTTGTCACATTTTTGGCGCCCAACGTGTCTTAGTTATTAGAACTAAGATAAAAACTTGATTCCAGAGCCAAAACTGTGCCTACGCCACATTTTTGGCGCCCAACGTATTTTTTCTTATTTATAAAAAATCGAAAAATCACGTTTTTTCTATTAAAATACGTTGATTCTCATCACTATAAAATCCCGGCGTGCTATCCAAAATGGCGTCGCCATGCTGCTTTTATCAGTGTTGAAACTCGGTTCTCTTTGGTGTTAAAATGTCCATTTTAACTTGTCGCGCATTCTAGAAAATAAATTAATTTTCCCCTTAAACGCGACAAAACACCACAATCATCTTGAGTGAAGGTTCCACGGCTTGCTTTGCTCGCATATTATAACAAAAAAAATATATTATTAAAAAGCTCGCATCTCTCTCATCGCTTCGTATTATTTGCCTTAATTTTTGCATAATTATTTCGAATATTTTGCTTCGCTATCAAAATCATTTTACTCTTGTATTTCTATCGCATGGAAATTATTTATTTTTATAAAATAGCTTATTTATTTATGTAAATTATTTCGCAATATACAATTTATATTATAATTTTCGCTTCTCACGACAAATTATATTTCTATTATTTATTTCAATAAATGTAAGCATGACGATGACTCACAATGATGATCACTTCGGGAAATAATGCCAAATTTTCCACTCAAGCCACAAAGGCTAGGAAAATTACCAAACCCTCGCTCGAAACGCGCAACCAAAACACAGCTGTGTTTCTGTAGAAATTTTTTTTTCTTAACGAGTGTTTACTACATGCTCTATCCTGTTGCTTGTCTCTGGCCTAATCAGATAAATCTAATTTAATTTCCTTTAAACGAAAAATTAAATTTATCCTACATTAAAATTTAATTAAAATTCTTTTACAAAAAAAAATATTTTTTTCTCTTTTGACAAAAAGCTACTACTTCTTTTATTGCTATGATTTTTTTAAAAATAAAACATTAACTAAATTAAAAATTTTTTTTGTTTTCTAATTTTGAACTCAAACTTTTTTTTCAAAAAAGATTTTTTCCCTTTTTTCAAAATAAATGCCAAGAAGACACAAACACTCTGCTACTCAAGGAGTTACTACCAGGTCACAAAGCAAACAAGCAAACATGTTCATAACACCACCACAACAGAAAAAGGGTTCTCAACCCACAGCAGAACCCAACCAACAAACAGTTGCCAACCCCCACCCCACAGCGAGCGAACAAAATTTGGAAGCTGCTGGCCCTCCCCAGAATCAACCCAGTCTTGAAACAAGACCCTTGGATAGCCTTCAGACTTCGAATGAGACTACGACCACCGCGCCACCCACCTCTCCCCTACTTTCTTTAGGAAGTTACATTACCAGCGATGAAACCGAACGTCCCCTTAGGGACACTCGAAACGATTCAATCGCAAATGCCAGCGCGTTGTTTGATTTTTCTTCATTCACAGGTTTCCCACAAAATACCCTTAGTGCAGGTTCAACTCTTAGAACAAATTCGGGTGCGATTTCCAAAATCCTAAATGCGCCTCCACAACATCAAATTTCAAAACGCACTTCTCCTCTTACAGAACGCAGACTTACTAAAACAATAAACACCCTCCGTTCTGAACAGAAAAATCACCTCGAAGAAATCAAAGAATTAATTCAGTTATCGTCTCAGGAACAAACCCGAACATCCACTGATCTAATTACGTCATTTCATGCTAAAACTCGAACCGAAATAAATAACTTAAAAACAGAAATTTTTAATGTCATAAGCAACCACCGTGTCGAAACCGAAGAAAATATAAGCGCATCTCGATTGGAATCAAACAAAGCCATTGACACCTTAAAACACGGCATAGCCGATTTAAATAGAACAATGACCTCCCTCACACAAAAAGTAAATGCATTACAAATGCACCAAGCGCAGTCACCCTGGAGAGATTCCAGATGGGCATTCGACGAGAGCGGGGACCACTTGCCTAGTCTCACTAGCCACCCCCCCACTCTCACAACCACTACAACTACGACGTCAATAGTAGGTACAAGCACAGTGACACAGACGGGAGCGACGTCTCATATCGTCCCCCCACTATCACACGCAACACCAGCAAGGCTCACTTCCCCGCCTAATCGCACCTTACACTTCGACGACAACTTGCAGTATCACGACGCCCCTCTCTCCCCACATACCGACTCGCCCAACTACTTCACACCATTGATTCCAACACTGATCGCTCCCCCACAAATAACACCAAGAAAAGCGATCCCTAATTTACACAAAAATTATTAAATCTTGGGACCTTACATTTCCTGGAAAATTAGACGCCTATGATTTCATTGCCGAATTTGAGAGCAGGATGTTGTCCACTGACATCAATTCCAATGACGCTCTTCTTTCATTGTCTCAAGTGCTAGTAGATTCAGCCTACACTTGGTACACTACCTTCCGACACTCTTGGCACACATGGGCCGAATTCGCGACAAAATTCCGCCTCGCTTTCAGTCAACTCAATGACGACCAATCATTGACGAATAAAATACAACGAGCGGTTCAACAATCAAACGAATCCGGATTAGATTTCGTAATTAGAATCAGCGCCCTCTATCAACGGTTGCAAAACAAAGTGCCAGAACCAAATCAATTAGATAAAATTTACTCAGCGCTTCACGCTGAATTGATCCTTCACTTTGACCGCGATACATTTAATTCTTACGATGGATTAATATCAAAAATCCACAAATACGAAAATAAAATCGCGGCAATGCAACAGTCGACAAAACAGCGCGAATATGACACTAAACGCAATCGCAACCCCCGCGGTAAAACGCAATTAAATGCGCTAGAAAATTTACCGCAGACTGAACAAAAAACGGATTCGAAACCCTCGCCAGAAACAAAACAAGAGACACCCGCGAAGCAAAATAAAAATACAAATAGACAAACAAATTCAGAAGCACCCCCAAAACTCAATAAAATCGAATCTTATATTCAACAAATCAAACATTTGCAAAATAAGATTCCGAAAAATTACAATTCGAAAACGACACAGGAGAAAGACTCTACGAAGTCCCCCACTACCCCTTCTCCTTCGCATCGTTCACGCAAGCGTTCCACTTCTAGTTCTTCCAGCTCCTCGCATTCTACTTCATCGCAGAAGGGGGTGAAAGCACGTGGATCGCCCGCGCGCAAGAAAGACGAGAAAGGTAGCAAGTCTAATCGAAACAATAATAGGGAAAGACGAAATAATCCGAACCGCGGTAATAATCAGGGTAATAATTGGAACAACCAAAACAATGGCTACAACCAACAAAACCCTTATTTTGCGCACCAGTTCCCACCAAACTTTTAGTTCGGAACACAACCACCGCAACCGCAGCCAATGCAATTCGCGCAACCAATGCAGTTCGCACAACCAACGCAAATACCTCAGCAGCCTTGGCCCGGTAATTTCAACCACGATTTCCCTAACACATTAGGACAAAATATTCCCTCGCAATCAAAAAACGACGGGAACGCCAGGAGAGATTAAATCTCCCTGGCGAAACACACAACAAAAATATCGCTCTTTCTAACGACGGTTTCCCTAAAAATCAAAGTCATATCGAAAATCGTGCAATTCCTGGCTGTAGCCACACCACTGTCGAATCGGGACGCGCCCTTGAAAATGCAACAACGCTTTATCAAGCATTCGCTACCAAGGATGACGTCAGCGATTCAGACTGTGAGTGGGGCGACTGCTACATCACGGAATCCGAGACGGAGTACGAAGACGAAGAAACCCCCTCCACCGACCATATAAACTCGATGGAAGCGCGCATTTCCTCGCTCTCTTCACTACCCTTACTATCTCCCAGCAATCTTTTACTTGCATCAAAAGAGATAACTGAGCGTAGAGTACAAAAAGGGCCTGCTACGCCCTTACCCTCACAAAAACGGTGCACGATAACAACTTCGATTAAGATAGGTAATAAAAAATATACGGGACTCCTTGACACTGGTAGCGACCGCACCTTTATGTCAGGGGAATTATTTGACGAAATTAAACAATTCGTTAACGGCGAACCGATTCTCGACGCAATAACCCGCGCCGGCGTGCAACTCGCGCAACGCGACCACGTGGCAGCCCCCCGTTATTCCTCGAAATTTAATATTGAGATATCGGACTGTAACGGCGAAATGTGGTTCGCAGTCCTCGACGGGCTCACCACACCCATTATCTTAGGAATGGATTTCATAACCCTTTGGCGGATTAATATTGACGCCGCCCAAGGCTGTTGGTCCATAGAAGGGTCAGACATTTTACACCCCCTCGCCTCCTACGATAAAATTCAAAGCCTCTTGAGCTCAGCGCAGTTAATAGAACTGACAACTGAACAACAAAGTACGCTTCAAAAATTCTTAGATAAAGAATTATCTGACTTCGCCGATTACACTGGAATAGTTAGTGACCTCACGACTCACGTCATCGATCTCACTGACCCAACCCCTTTTAAAATAAAACCTTATCGCCGCAGCATGGAAGCTGAAAAAATAATGAATTTACAAATCGACAAATATATAGCTCGAAAATTTTTAGTACCTAGCAATGGCCGATTTGCTAGTCCCGCACTGCTAACTTATCGAAAAGATGGCAAACCGCGACTTTGCATTGATTACCGTCGGCTCAATAGAGTTACAAAAAAATCAGCGTACCCGCTACCACGCATGGACAGCATACTTGACGCGCTTTCTGACGCCGTAATAATCAGCACGATCGACCTTACCGATGCGTTCCACCATATACCGGTCGACTCGAAATCGAGAGAATATACCGCCTTCTCGGTTCCCGGTCGCGGACAATTCGAATGGGTCCGAATGCCTGTCGGCCTCACTAACGCGCCAGCCACATTTCAGGCTTTCACTGATAGGCTGAAACAAAAGTTTGTCGAGCACGTGCGTAAACACAACCTCCCTGAAAGGTTAATCAACCAAGTGCATGCATACTTGGATGATTGGATTATTGTTTCCAGAACCTTTGACGAGCACCTCGAATTGCTAAAAATTTTGTTCACCATTCTCAACGAGGCTGGCATGTCCATCAATCGCGAAAAATCATTTTTTGCGAAATCGTCGGTCGAGTATTTAGGTTATATCTTAGACAAGGACGGCCTTAAGCCTAACCCTAAACGAGTAGAACCAATCCTCGAGAGACCAACACCCAAAAACCGCAAGGATCTGCGCCAGTTCAACGGTTCTGTCAATTGGTACCACCGCCATTTGCGCAACATTGCGCGAGTGCAGGGACCGCTTAACAAATTAGCGAGCCCAAAGGTGCCATGGCAATGGACCGAAGAACACGAGGCCGAGTTTATCGCAGTCAAAAAGGAATTAAAAAATGCCTTGACTCTAAACGCGCCACGGCCTGGCTTGCCATTTATCCTCTACACAGACGCGAGCGAAACAGGAATCGGCGGTATTTTAACCCAACAAGATAAGGATCGAGAGCTTCTTATTACATGCGTCAGCCGACCTTTGAGGGGTGCTGAACTTAATTACACCACTACTGAAAAGGAGTGCTTAGCACTGGTTGACGCAATGAAAAAGCTCCGTTGCTATCTCGAACTTACTGAATTCACAGCAATCACGGACCATTCTAGTCTGGTCTGGCTCAAGGGCATTAAAGATCCTAGAGGCAGACTCGCGAGGTGGGCCCTTGAACTGTCAGCGAACAAGGTAAAAATCGAGCATCGCAAGGGAACGCTCAACGAAGCACCCGATACCCTCTCTCGCCTCTACGAGAGTCCACAGGAAGACACGCCCCCCGCGCATGTCAACCTGTTAGTCAGTCGGTCGTGGTACGATGACACAAAAGAGAAAGTCAGTCGAGACCCCGCGCGATATGAGCGATATAGAATAAGCCCAGACGGCGAACTATTTTATTACAAGCCCAATCACCTGAAAGAAACAATAGGTGACAATAATGCCTGGAAAAAGGTTCTCAAAGAATCTGAAATCCTTGCAATTCTTACAGAACATCACGATTCTCCACAATCCGCGCACCAAGGAATTAACAAGACTTACCATTCAATATTGAATTCTTATTACTGGCCCGGTATGCGTGAAGATGTAAGGCGCTATATCAAAGAATGTGAGATTTGCCTTCGTTGCAAACCTGACAATTCCCCGCCTCAAGGCCTGATGTACCCGCGCAAATTTACAGAACCATGGGAAATCGTATCACTCGATATTATAGGCCCCATGCCGCGATCGAAAGCAGGAAAATGTTACGTGTTAGTTTGTGAAGACACATATACACGCTATATCGAATGTTTCCCACTATCAAAGGCAGACGGCCCCAAAATCGTGAACTCATTAAACACACTCGTAAACAAATGGGGAACGCCGCGAATTTTTATTACGGACAACGGAACAGAATTCGTAAACCGCGCTATCTCTAAATTTTTAACAGAGATCGGATCAGAACAACGAACAACTCCCGTCTACCACCCACAGTCCAATCCCGTCGAGCGCGTTAATCGAAATCTCAAAACGATGATCGCGAGCCTCCTCGGCGAGGATCACCGCGACTGGGATAAGTTGCTGAGCGAAATTCAATTCGCTTACAACACGACTGTCCATACGTCACTCGGCGTATCCCCCGCTTACTTAAATTTTGCTCGCGAACCTAAACGCACAGGTAAACAACCACTCGACACAAATGACAACACTACAGAAGACACTGTTCACGATTGGTTGGAACGTGTGACACGGATAGATGACCTGCGCGCAAAAATTGAATTATCAATGAAAAAGGCCAGCGAGAAACAAAGTAAAAAATTTAATAAAAATCGAAAGCATGACATTTCCTTCGAGCCAGGAGACTTGGTATTTTATCCAAATAATCTTCTGTCTAACGCCGCTAAAAATTTTAGTTCTAAATTAGCACCACGCTACCGAGGTCCTGCGGTTGTCTTAGAAAAATTGTCACCCGTAGTGGTTATCATTGGTGATAAGCACGGTAAAAAATTAGGTAAATATCATGTCAACGATCTAAAACGCGCAAAGAAAGGTTTACGATCGCGAACTTAACCATTTTCAGATCGAAAACAACCATGGAGAACTCCAATGCACCCAACGTCAACGACAACGCCTCCAGCCAAGCGGAACTGCCAGTCTTACGTCTCGAGTCCACACTGGAGCAATTACTGACAGATTTGTCAGACCCGGCCTTCGGAGAGGAGTCACCTGGCCTTGTTGTGCTAAAAAAGGAGGACTTTCAAACCATTCTTCTCGCGCGCCGTTTGCTCGCAATAAATTTGAACGAGGCAAACACTCACAACCTTAAACTCGAAGAGGAACTCTCGGAAGCGAGAAAATTTCCCCCACCACCAATAGGCAATTTCTACGAGGAGCAATTCAAGGCTGTATACGCTATGGCTAACGAGAAGCAACGACTAACCGAAGACCTGTTCACTGCGCAAAACAACGCGCGCAAACACGAGGAAGAAGTAGCCAAGCTGCGCCAAGAACTCGAAGCATTCGAGTATGACTGGGACGATCTTCTCAAGAGTCATAAAAACTTCAAACGCCAAGCTGCTCTCGCCAAGAATTACAAGGACCTCTTTAGACAAACAATCGCAGAAGTCTACACCGCGCAAGCCAATATGCGCGAACCTTGCCTTCGAAAGAAACTACCACCTGGCTGTATCAACTGCAAACAAGAAGGTCACAGCCATAATTCTTGTCCTGAATCTTACTCCGGAAAATTCTGTCAAGAATGCGACTGCCCGGACTTCAACACACAAGATTGTCCATGGCCTCATTACGAAAATAAGAAAATTCCCTCTTTGCCGCCGCATCTTCGTTGCAAGCGCTGCTGGCAACCAAAAAACCAGCCCAACCCCTGTTGCGCGCAATGCAGGAAAATAATGATAGAGAAGACTACCGCCAAGAAGTATGACCTCGCCATAGAGATGGAAAACAAGGCTCGCAAACAAACTGCAACCACCACTTACACTGGCACCATATCAAAAGCACCCGCTGTCGTAGCGCAGCCCCCCACTTCCAACAGAAGGACTGAATCGCTCAATTTGACGGCTGACTCCAATTCGAAGCGACCTGACAATCTGGACACAGCTTCCACCACCTCTGAAGAAAGCGACTCACAGGCCACCAGGAGAGGATGATCATCGCCAGCACTCCGACCGCCCTTGCGCTACTTCGAAACCTTTTTCTTTTCCGCGCCGTTGCGCTATTTCCGAAAAATTCTTATTTTTTTTCTTTCTATAAATCATTTAGTCGCGTCATTACGCGTATACAAAAAAATATACTTTTATTTTCTTTCAACGATCATGCCACAAGGTTTCTTTTTTCAAAAAAATTTTTTTTTCTCAATAAAAAAAAACCGTATATTTAAGTTTAAACAGATTAACTATAAGGCAAATTTTGCAAAAGAGAGAACAGCTGTCGTCGTCCATTATATAAAATAATTTTAGTTTATTCTCAAAAAAAGGAAAAATACCAAACATTTTATTTTATAATTTCAAATGATCTCTTTTTCTTTAGTTCTATTACTTGACCAGAAGGGATGAGTGACCGCTTATGGTCAGAGCGAACGGGAATGAACCCGGGTTGTAACTCCAACCTAGAAGGGGGGAGTGTGACGACCCAGATAGTCTTATCTTTTTTTTACGAAATAGTTGTTCCTTTACCCGAGTTCATTCTCCGAGCGCATTCAAATTCGCGCGCCAAAGTAGCGCGCATGACTGCACTTAGCAGACGACTCGCACGACGCCGGCGAGACTTGTTGCTCTCGCCAGATAGATGCGAGCCTTCGCGAGGATATATTATAAGATTACCGCGCTATAATTATCGCTTATTATATTGTATCCGCGCCTTTCCTTGTTACTGGTAAACAATAAACGTTTTGTTAAGTAACTCTCAGTGACTTGTTCATTTGTTTGGATTATTAATCGTTGTTAAATAGGATTAGCCGCCACGAGGACCATCCGTCGACCGGTAAGTTCGCTTTGCACCATTTGCTCTTTCTTCTGGCCGATTGGACGACTACTTGGCAGCCTTTCTCAATCACCGTACTTGCTCGCTGCTGGAACTTTCGCTCAAGCTTTGTGCCTCCCGTCTCGAGTCGTCCCCATCCCCGAGAACTCCTTAATTAATATCGCTCTAAATTCAATTCTCGCGACCGGGTTGTCACAACCAAAGATTCGAGACTATTTAATAAGTAAAGTATTTTCCAAAAGCACAAAACTAATGAAGCTAAATCCCATAAAAGAGGAGAAAAAATTTTAAATTTTAAGAAATTCGGATTTTTGAATTTTTGATAATTTTCTATAATTTTCTATTTTTTACCAAAGGGTGAAGACTAATAAATAAGTAAAGTATTTTTCAAAAGCACAAAAATAATAAAGCTAAATCCCATATAAAAGAGGAAAAAATGTTGAATTTTAAAAAAATCGGTTCTTCGAATTTTTAATAAATTTAGATTTTTACCAAAGATTCAAGACTATTTAATAAGTAAAGTATTTTCCAAAAGCACAAAAATAATGAAGCTAAATACTATCAAAGAGAAGAAAAACTGTTAAATTTTAAAAAAATCGGTTTTTTGAATTTTTGATAAATTTTGATAATTTTAGATTTTTTACCAAAGAGTCGAGACTATTTAATAAGTAAAGTATTTTCTAAAAGCACAAAAATAATAAAGCTAAATCCTATAAAAGGGGAGAAAAAATTTAAAATTTTAAGAAATTCGGATTTTTGAATTTTTGATAATTTTCTATTTTTTACCAAAGGGTGGAGACTAATAAATAAGTAAAGTATTTTTCAAAAGCACAAAAATAATAAAGCTAAATCCCATATAAAAGAGGAAAAAATGTTAAATTTTAAAAAAATCGGTTCTTCGAATTTTTAATAAATTTAGATTTTTACCAAAGAGTCGAGACTATTTAATAAGTAAAGTATTTTCCAAAAGCACAAAAATAATGAAGCTAAATCCCATAAAAGAGGAGAAAAAATTTAAAATTTTAAGAAAATCGGATTTTTGAATTTTTGATAATTTTCTATAATTTTCTATTTTTTACCAAAGGGTGGAGACTATTAAATAAGTAAAGTAATTTACAAAAGCACAAAAATAATGAAGCTAAATACTATCAAAGAGAAGAAAAACTGTTGAATTTAAAAAAAAACGGTTTTTTGAATTTTTGATAAATTTTGATAATTTTAGATTTTTTACCAAAGAGTCGAGAGTATTTAATAAGTAAAGTATTTTCTAAAAGCACAAAAATAATGAAGCTAAATCCCATAAAAGAGGAGAAAAAATTTTAAATTTTAAGAAATTCGGATTTTTGAATTCTGATAATTTTCTATAATTTTCTATTTTTTACCAAAGGGTGGAGACTAATAAATAAGTAAAGTATTTTTCAAAGGCACAAAAATAATAAAGCTAAATCCCATATAAAAGAGGAAAAAATGTTGAATTTTAAAAAAATCGGATCTTCGAATTTTTAATAAATTTAGATTTTTACCAAAGATTCGAGACTATTTAATAAGTAAAGTATTTCCCAAAAGCACAAAAATAATAAAGCTAAATCCCATAAAAGAGGAGAAAAAATTAAAAATTTTAAGAAATTCGGATTTTTGAATTTTTGATAATTTTCTATAATTTTGTATTTTTTACCAAAGGGTGGAGACTATTAAATAAGTAAAGTAATTTACAAAAGCACAAAAATAATAAAGCTAAATACTATCAAAGAGAAGAAAAACTGTTGAATTTTAAAAAAATCGGTTTTTCGAATTTTTGATAAATTTTGATAATTTTAGATTTTTTACCAAAGAGTCAAGACTATTTAATAAGTAAAGTATTTTCTAAAAGCACAGAAATAATAAAGCTAAATCCCATAAAAGAGAAGAAAAAATTTAAAATTTTAAAAAATTCGGATTTTTGATAATTTTCTATAATTTTCTATTTTTTACCAAAGGGTGGAGACTAATAAATAAGTAAAGTATTTTTCAAAAGCACAAAAATAATAAAGCTAAATCCCATATAAAAGAGGAAAAAATGTTGAAGTTTAAGAAATTCGGATTTTTGTATTTTTAATAATTTTTTATAATTTTAGATTTTTTTCCAAAGAGTCGAGCCTATTTAATACTTAAGTAAAGTATTTTCCAAAAGCACAAAAATAATAAAGCTAAATCCCTTAAAAGAAGAGAAAAAATTTTAAATTTTAAGAAATTCGGATTTTTGAATTTTTGATAATTTTCTATAATTTTCTATTTTTTACCAGAGGGTGGAGACTATTAAATAAGTAAAGTTATTTACAAATGCACAAAAATAATGAAGCTAAATACTATCAAAGAGAAGAAAAGCTGTTGAATTTTAAAAAAATCGGTTTTTCGAATTGTTGATAAATTTTGATAATTTTAGATTTTTTACCAAAGAGTCGAGACTATTTAATAAGTAAAGTATTTGCTAAAAGCACAAAAATAATAAAGCTAAATCCCATAAAAGAGGAGAAAAAATTTAAAATTTTAAGAAATTCGGATTTTTGATAATTATCTATAATTTTCTATTTTTTACCAAAGGGTGGAGACGAATAAATAAGTAAAGTATTTTTTAAAAGCACAAAAATAATAAAGCTAAATCCCATATAAAAGAGGAAAAAATGTTGAATTTTAAAAAAATCGGTTTTTCGAATTTTTGATAAATTTTGATAATTTTAGATTTTTTACCAAAGGGTCGAGACTATTCAATAAGTAAAGTATTTTTCAAAAGCACAAAAATAATGAAGCTAAATCCCATAAAAGAGGAGAAAAAATTTAAAATTTTAAGAAATTCGGATTTTTGAATTTTTGATAATTTTCTATAATTTTCTATTTTTTACCAAAGGGTGGAGACTATTTAATAAGTAAAGTAATTTACAAAAGCACAAAAATAATGAAGCTAAATACTATCAAAGAGAAGAAAAACTGTTGAATTTTAAAAAAATCGGTTTTTCGAATTTTTGATAAATTTTGATAATTTTAGATTTTTTACCAAAGAGTCGAGACTATTTAATAAGTGAAGTATTTTCCAAAAGCACAAAAATAATGAAGCTAAATCCCATAAAAGAGGAGAAAAAATTTTAAATTTTAAGAAATTCGGATTTTTGAATTTTTGATAATTTCTATAATTTTGTATTTTTTACCAAAGGGTGGAGACTATTAAATAAGTAAAGTAATTTACAAAAGCACAAAAATAATGAAGCTAAATACTATCAAAGAGAAGAAAAACTGTTAAATTTTAAAAAAATCGGTTTTTTGAATTTTTGATAAATTTAGATTTTTACCAAAGAGTCGAGACTATTTAATAAGTAAAGTATTTTCCAAAAGCACAAAAATAACGAAGCTAAATCCTATAAAAGAGAAGAAAAAAATGTAAATTTTAAGAAATTCGGATTTTTGAATTTTTTATAATTTTCTATTTTTTACCAAAGGGTGGAGACTATTAAATAAGTAAAATAATTTACAAAAGCACAAAAATAATAAAGCTAAATCCCATAAAAGAGGAGAAAAAATTTTAAATTTTAAGAAATTCGGATTTTTTAATTTTTGATAATTTTAGATTTTTTACCAAAGGGTGGAGACTATTAAATAAGTAAAGTATTTTCTAAGAGCTCAAAAATAATGAAGCTAAATACTATCAAAGAGAAGAAAAACTGTTGAATTTTTAAAAAATCGGTTTTTCGAATTTTTGATCAATTTTGATAATTTTAGATTTTTTACCAAAGTGTTACGTCCGTAACTTCTTATTAATATTTCTATTTTAACTATATGTTATTACTTATGTATTTAATTTCTATATATTGTATTTCATCTTCATTTTTAATGCATGTATCTTATATTTAAATATTGTATCTTATCATAATATTATATTCAGTATTTGTAATTCTTAGGTTTTAAGTTTGCATTATATTCAGTATATTTTCTAACAATATTGTAATTACATTATGTATTTCTTAAAAACGAATCCAGGAAAGAATAATATTTCAAAGTAATGTCAAAGGAATAACGATTAGGTAGAATCATATTAGTTACGCATGGCTGCAGAGGATTCAAAACAAACATCGTGACCTCTAAAGAAGGAAATTTCCTATCGGCGTTGCGGAAGATTCAAACAAACGTTGTGACCTCTAAAGAAGGGAATTTCCTATCGGCGATGGGGAGGATTCAAATAAACGTTGCGACTTAAAAAGTGGAATCTAATATTAAGCATTTCCACTCGTATCGACTCGCTATGCATTAGGATAATGAGGAAATTTTTATATAAAAAGGGGTAGCAGTTCTGTTTGACCAGAGAGTAACTATTTAGAAATCAACCTGAACACATCGTTCTGTACAAGAGACTAGAGAGTAATTGTTTAGAAATCAACCTTATAACATCGTTCAGTACAAGAGAGTAATTTTTGGGAATCAACCAGTTTACATCGTTCAGTCAACGTTAGCACATCACATAATTTACAAGTGAATTCAAAGCACATCTTTGAGAGTGAACAGTATATCTCCAAGTATTCTTTTCAAAGTGGATTGTTCGAAAGTGAACAATATATCCCCAAGTGTTAAATTTGAAGTGAACTGTAAATCAACCTTTTTCAAACCAAATCAACCACCAATTTGCAAAATATAAATTTTAAACAATTTCCAAATTTATTAAATTGGAAATAATCTCAACCATCAACGAACATCTAATATTCAAACAACACATTCCAAATTTCGAACCATCGAAATTTGCTCAAGAGGCGACAACCGTCTGGAAGAAAGCAGATATTTTCGGAATACAATACACTATCTCATTAGTGTAAACAAGAGGACCAATACCCTGCCATAAAGGACAACCGTGTGAGGCTCCTTTACGTCTAGCCCTCAACACACTTCAAGATTGGATTACCAGATTATCATCACCAGTTCATATACCACCACTAATCGTTATTCCTACAGTAAGATTTATTATTTCAATTATACTCATTGTATTATTGTCAATACTTTTCATTCTTGTTGGTTTTTAAATAAATTATTCTCTCAATACATTTAGTAGGCTCATTGACTTATCCTCATCCCAAATTAGATTCATTCCTGAAACTAAT